AGGGTTAGTTTAGGGTTAGTTTAGGGAGTTTAGGGTTTAGGGTTAGTTTAGGGTTTGGGGCTCGTTCTCCAAGAAGCTGGGTGAGAAGGAGGCGATGCGCGTGCACAGGCATGATCCATGAAGAACAGCACCGGCTGCTCTGAACGGCACATGCTTGCATCGGCAGAGATCAAAGGAACACGATTGTCTTGCCTGCGCAGTAGTTTTCATGCCAATATTTCGGAGAACTCGCACGTGCTAGGCTCTGCAAGGGCACATCATACATCCAGGCCAGCAGCCCAACAAGAAGAAACCCGTTGCGACGTTCAGACGAACAACGTACGCAAGACACGTCAATTTCTCAAACCACGGACAATAAGCCGCTTGAGTGCACCCGAGCCGTTAAGGTGCGAGTACCAAGTCCTCTTGCTAATCATGTTTGTTTTGATCCCATACATGCCCCTAAACCCTAAACCCTAAAAGCAAGCTTGGTTCCTTGAAGGGTTCCTTTACGGGTCCTTCAAAGGCTCCTTTAGGCCCTAGGACCGCTATGCAGTTGTTAAGTTGTTAAGCTCTCCGAAAAGTCCGAGCCGGTAAGGTTTACAACCAACTGCGCCAGTACGACCGCGCAGAGACGTGGTTCCATCAGGCTGTGAACTTGCCGCTTTGGCCTGCACTGGCTCTTGTTTGATACAGCATCGGTAATATAGTCCATTGAAACGCAGTTTGTGTAGCATAGGTAATATAGTCCATTGATAAGCAGTTTAAGGCTTCTGAGGTTAGTGTACTACATTTATAGCCAGGAGCCCCCCCCACAAAAAAGTACTACTGTCTTCTGCGTGACCAGCCGTTTCCACAGACCCCCCAGGTTGGTTTCTTGCGGATGAGCCTCCATTAGGTTAGGGTCTAGGGTTTAGGGTCTTAAAGTCCTAAGCCCCTATGGAGGGTTGGAGAGTTGTGGCACTGGATTTGGAAGCCAGGCTTTAGGGTTAAGAGATGGTGGGAGCATGTCTTTTGGAAATGCAGAGGCCTGCCGAAGGTGCAACAGTAATATTTAGAGTTTTTAGAGTTCCTCAGTTTTACATCGTTGTAATGTCAGAGCGCAAAGCCCGAGTCGATTTATTCAGGACCCTTGCTTAGACTTTCAGAGCCTGCGACTGCAGCTCTGAGTTCAGCAGCTTCTTGCCTCTGCTCGGTATGCTTAGGGCTTAGGGTTTTGAGTTTAGAGTTAAAGGGCTTGCATTACATCGAGTAACTTACATACGATTTAGGGTTTAGGGTTTGAGGTAGCGAAAGGGAATCGTGGTACATGACTGCCACACCACCCGCTCTGAATCGTTTAGCATAGTCGATGCTGATATCGTCGAGATTGATGGTTCACTGCGCCAATTGTTTTTTTGTCGGTGTCTTGTTCTCTGTATCTCTCTCTGTCTCGACTGTGTTCGTGCATCTTCGTTATGCGCATGTGTGTTTCTGTGTGTCTGCCATATTTCGCCTAGCCATCCAAGCCCCGAAACCCTGAACTCAAACCCTAAACTTTGAACCAAACTCAAAAAACCCGAATGTTTAAGCGGGACATTCTCGGAACCTAAACCGTACAATGCTTTTGTGTTTTGGGATCTGGTGCATGCTCACAGTCGACCTAAGGAAAGGAGGCACACCGGACAAGGATGCCGGTTTAGGTTTTAGAGGGTTTAGGGCTCAGGGTTTACAGGGTTTAGGGTTTAGGCTTTTGTTCAACTTGATTACAAAACCAGGCAGGGAGCCCATGATGAAGCACCCTACGAGCTATGCATAGGCTCCAAAGTAGTTCCTTTTCGGGGTTACCCTTGTAGGATCCTAAATATGAGCCACAAACAGGAACTACTTAGGAGCCTATGGGTATGCTTGCAAAAAATCCGAGCAAGCCATGCCTTGAACGGGACCCCGATTTTCATGAATTTGAGCACCCTTGAGCACCCATTCTGCCAGGATAAACGAGCTGCATTGAACGCTCTGTAAGAAGGACCCATCGTGAATAGGACTCGCAATATTCGGGGGTCTCTATTGCGCAGTTTCTTGTCCACGAAAGCCCTACACGGCCCTACACCCTAAACCCGGCTTGGGACGCGACAATATAGGGGCCTAAATAATTACCAATACTGTTTTGGAGTTCCTTATTATGATTATAGTACAATGTACCCGAAACTCTATTCTAATTTGTATGTATGTATGTATATATATATATATATACATATATATATATATATATAGTGGATCTGGGCCGGGCCCGGGGGCTTTTGGGTCTCGCAACTTTTGGGGTTTAGGGTTTGGGGTTTAGCGGCCAAGCTTTGAACCCTCAATCATAATGTGTACACCGCTGAAAAGCATCGATGTTCTGCTCGTTTGGTTTTAGAGTTCTTCCTTGACCTCGCCGGCATTACCCTGCAGGAGGATGTCTGGAATCTGGCCATCTGCAAGAAGAGCCAGGGCGATTTTCAGAACTGCTTCTCAGCCCTAGGCCCAAGCCCTCAACCCCCAACGCTCGTCTTAGTTGCTTGTGCACTTGCAGTCTTTGCTTTTCGAAACAGACCGTGCGCCACCCGCTTAGAGGTTCAGGTGTCGCAATTCTTAGCATCGACTGTCTAGTTTAGGGTTTTGGGTTTAGGCCAAACCCTAAATCGGAATTCTCCGCCGCAAAGGAACATGGGAAGATACGAGGAGGCTCTGCCGATGCTTCGACAGGCCCTGGCAGAGTTCCAGGCCGCTTGGGTTCGGGTTTCGTTAGGGTTTATAGGGATTTAGGGTTCAAGGTTTAGGGGATTCGGGTTTAGGGTTCAGGGGCGGAGGAGGTTTAGGTTGCCGATTCGGGGCCTTGAGCTTGTAGGTTAAAAAGAGTGCAACAAAAATCCAAAACTCCCCCGTATATCCGTGCAGCAACAGCCCTATTGAACCCTAAACTCATGAGCCCCAAATCCCAGGAGCATGAATAATGAACCCCAAACCCTGAACCCTAAACGCTAAAGGCCCTAAACGACCTAAAAATAGACCCCCCATCCCCCCCAGCATGAGGCTGACAACAACACAAACGCCCTACACCCCTAAGTCCTCAGTCCCTAGACTTAGAAGCCAGACTCCAGACCCCAAAACCCAACACCGAAAAAACAAACTTAAACAGCCTCAAAACCCTAAACTCCCCAAGAGCAAGAGACTAAGGCACTTAAACCGAAAAGTTCTCTTAACCCCATGAAAGCATAAACGCCTCCTTATACAAATCCTTGAGCAAAACCCCCAAAAGCCCTAAGTCCCTACGTCCCAAGGAGTTCCCTCAAACCCTTTAGGGAACCCTAGGAGCAAGAGCCCGACCAAGCGGTGACCATTCCTAAACCCTAAACCCTAAAACCCTAAACCCTAAACCCTAGACCCGAACCCTAAAACCCTAAACCGTGAACCCTAAAACCCTATAGACCCTAAAACCCTATACCCTAAACCCTAGACCCCAAACCTTAAAAACCTAGGAGCAAGAGCCCGACCAACCGGTGACCATCGCCAAGCTGCACTCCTCGCTGGGCGGCTGCCTTCACGACATGGGCCGGCCTGGGGAAGCTGCGGAAGCTGGGCTTGTTGGTAGGGCTTCCTGTCGGGGGTTCGTGTAAGGAGTTCCTTTAAGGGTTCCTTTAGGGGTTCCTGTAAGGGGTTCCTTTAATTTAAGAGGTTCCTTTAAGGGTTCCTTTAGGGGTTCCTGTTAAGGGTTCCTTTAAGGGGTTCCTTTAAGGGTTCCTTTAAGGGTTCCTTTAGCTGTTCCTGTAGGGGTTCTGTTAAGGGTGCCTTTAGGGGTTCCGTTAAGGGCTCATGGTTAGGGGTTTGGGATTACGGGTGTGGGGTTCAGGGTTTTGGGTTCAGGCTTTGGGGTTAGGGTTTGGGCGTATAGGGATTAAAGAAGAAGCGTTTCAGGCCTCTAAGCCCAGTAACGCCGGATGCACAGCTCTTGTTGGGAGGAAGATGTGGAGTGCTTTGGGGGTTAGATTCGCCGAGCTGTTGTTGGACTGTCATGATAGTAGGATTGGAGGGGTGAACTCTGTCGCTCTACTTCGTCCGCCCACTCCTTGCCGCTGCCCTCCATCACCTCACCCTGCTCGAGCAGTCCCTGCCGAGGAAGAGTACCAGAAGGCCTACACCCTTTATGCCGCAACGGTGGGACGCTCCAGCCCTCTCTTCTGTGGTGCTGCCGAGGGATTGGCGAAAGCACTGCAGAAGGAGCTGCACTGTGTTTGAATACTATACCAAGAGAGCCCAGTACCCCTAACGGCAGGAATCTGCTGTTCTCTTTAGGGCTTCTGGTTGTGTTTTGAGGAATATACGTATTCCTTGAATTGTGAGGGTGGTGCTTTGGAGGGGGTTTCGGAAACACATTCAAGCATGTAACTGTAGACAAAGAGAAGCAGGCGGTGGAACATAGTGCCGCAGGTAGAACCAAAAATTACTAAACCCTAGACCCCAGACCCTAAACCCTAAACCCTAAGCCCCTGAACCCCTAAACCCTAAACCTCAAACCCTAGAAAAGTGCCAGCAAATAGGGGCCGATTCTAACCCCTGAGCCTTGAAGACTCAACCCTGAATCTCACGTTTAGGGCTTAGGATTCAGGGTTTAGGGCCTTTAGGGTTTAGGGCCTTTGGGGTTTAGGGTTTAGGGTTTAGGGGTTTAGGGGTTTAGGGGTTTAGGGTTTAGGATTTAGGGTTTAGGGCCTTTAGAGTTAGAGTTTTAGTTTTACAATAGCCCAGAAGCCTTATATGGGATCTGGTCCTTAAGCTCTAAATCCCAAATGCTCAACTAGCACAAAAACAAAACCCCATAGAGCCCCTATAGAGTTTTTTGTTTTGTAAACCCTGCACACGCACTCACCCCCCCTAGACCCTAAACTCCCAAAACCCTAAACCGTAGGGTCCAGGTACAAAAATAGCATATACTTTGGCCCCAAAGTACCTATATAGGGACTACTTTAAGGCCAAAGTATATACCATTTGGGTAGATGGACCCCTAGGGTAAACTGAGGCCATAAGCCCCTGCGTAGTTCCTTCTTAGGATTGCTTTATAGGATTCTAAATATAAACCACAAAAAAGCCACCAAAAGGAAGTACTTAGGGGCCTATGGGTAGACCCTAAACTCCCAAAGCCCTAAGCCCATAATCAAAACTCCGAAAGCAAGCCGAAGGAGAGCAGGCACTCGGAGGCCTTTGAGGCTCATGGGCAAGGCTTTAGATAGGGTTTTAGGGCTTAGGGGGTTTAGGGGGGTTTAGGGGGTTTTGGGGGTGTTGGGTTTAGCCCCGGGCGGCCGCATGCCAGGCACTACGCGAAGCTTTCGAGGTTCATGCTCGATGCGACTCTGTGCATACAACGCCGCTCTTCGAGTGCTTGGAGATGGCCATGGATCCTCCTTCCTCGTAGACCCAGAGAGCCCAACAACCCTTAAATAAGGAAAATACCTGAAATTACAGGGGCCTTAATATTATTATGATTTAAGGTATATTCCTTAATTAAGGGGTATTGGGCTCTCTGAGGAGTGGTGTTTGGGGCTTGATAGGGTCTCTTTTGGGGGTTCTGTAGGGGAAAAGCCTACATCCTAAAGCTTGGAGCTAAGGACATACAAGAGCAGTCCCCCGGGGTGGACTTGTCCAGCTTGCGGTCGCCAATTGAAGATGCGATGCAAAACCTTCAAAGCCGCGGCCAGGACCGAGATGGCAATGCAGGGCTTCTTAGCCGCCTTCACAGATGCTTGTATCTCAGAATCTCAATTTAGTGTGTGGGAACAAATTGATGAGAAACATAAACAGCCAGTTATTTATTTAGTAGCTAAACTTACATATGTGTATTATACATAGATGTGTACAAACATATACAAACAACATGTGTGTGTAATTATGAGATACATGTTCTTAATGGTAACAAGCCATGAAAAACTCCCAACGTGCCTCGAAGAGCCGCCCCAGAAAACCGTATGAAGCCCAATCAAGCATTGAACAAATGCTGCGAAGCCTTCCCTTCTTGACTTTAGGGTTTAAGGTTAGAGGGACTCACCCTTCCAAGAATTACTTCCCAAAAAAAAAGCAATTCCCTGTTAAAGCCTTGCCGAAGCCCTTATGAAACCTTGTTTTACAAGCCCAAGACAAGCCCAGGCTTGTGATGAGCCGGGCAGGAAAGCTTCTGTTGCGGTCGGGAGCAGAAGACGAGGCCTATGCGCTGCAGCTCCTGCGTCAGGGGCGACAGTTGATTCAGGAGGCGCACGATGCCAAGGAGGCCAACCTAGCCCACGAGCTGCTTGAGGTGGACCTCCTTGTACAGAAGACAACTACCCCAAGCCCTTCGCAGAACTCTCCGCTTGCAGAGACCCATGGTTAGGACTAAACTGGATATCCGGAGGCTCAAGCGCGACAGGCTCAATGAGACTTGTCTGTGCAACCGAAGGCACCTAGGCCTGGGGTCCCTGCAAGCGTGTCCACCCTCCTGGCGACCTCTAAGTGAGCCAGAGGGGAAAAAGCTTGGCATCGTCTGCATGCACGCATGTACGTTTGTGTGTACATGTGTATGTACCTCTGATGCCTGTATGTCTGTATGTCTGCTTGCTGGCTAGCTAGCTCGTCAGTAAGTCAGTCAGTCAGCTAGTCAGCTGGTACCTACCAACCTATTTGCTCACTTGCTTGCTCGCTAGCTGGCTTGCTTGCGTGCTTGCTGACACCTACCTGCTCACTTCTTTGCTGGCTTCCCAACTAACTGAAGTACGAGTACTTGAATCCTCAAATCCCCAAGCTTCCTCCACCTGCAGGACGAGATGGAACGGCGAGAGGCGGAGAAGATGAGCAAGTCCAAGGAAGAGATGACACGAAGCCTCTTCCTGATCTTGGGTTGCGTCCTTTGGATTCAGGGTGGAGGGTTTCGGGTTTATAGGGTGTTAAAGGGATTCGTGTTTACGGTTTTAATGGATGGCCCGTGGGTGGGGTTTAGGGGCGATGGGTATTTCCGGGCTACTCCTACGTACAAGAAGCAGACCAGCAGTCGCAATAATGACGGCTTCTCTTACACTTGCGATCGTCAAAATCCTGAACTCCAAAGCAGGACCCAAGATTCTGCTCTGAGGCGCTTAGCGGCTCAGAGGCTCCTCCTTTGTACTTTTGCTATCGCCGGTGACGGGTTCGGGGGTTTGCTTTGAGGATTTAGGGTTTCGGGTAGCAGATCGAGGGTTCAGCATCGTGAAGGTTTATGGACCCTGTGCTCTGAACCCTAAGCCCTAAAGCCTAAACCTCTGAACCCTAAGCAGAAATCCTGCAGCCCAGAAGAGAAAACACTGCATCCCAAAGCCGCAAAACCTTATAGCCCCAACCCCAAACCGCAGCGACCTTCGACCTCAAACCATAGACCCTATAAGCCCGAGATCTTACACCCGACGCCCTATTCCCTTACTCTGAGGGTCGGGGGACTTAGTACGTAGGTATTAGCTGACTTATAAGTACCCTCAAGGGGATCCTAATTGGGATAATGATACATAAAAGTCTATAAAACCTCTACTTACTAAGTCCCCCAGCCCTCTTTTTTTGAACCCGATTATAGATCCCTTTAGGGGTCCCCTTCAAGAGCCCGTTAAGGAACCCCCCCGGACCCCCACCAGCCGAGTGAACCCCAGGTTGGAGGTCAATTCTCCGCGTCCGGAGCCCATCCCTGGGGATGGCAATTTAGGGTTTAGAGTCTATTGTTTAGGGTGCAGGGTTTAAACTTTCGGGTTTTGAGTTTTGGGGTTTAGGGTTTTGAGTTCAGCGTCTGGGGCCAAATTTTTAGGTTTCGGTTTTGTCTTGGTGGGGCTTGGGCTCAGGGGCTTTATAGGGGTTTGGGGGGTCAAAGGTCTGAGGTCCAGGGTTTAGGCCTTGGGGTTGAAATCTTTACGAGTTGTGGTGCCTGGGAGTGTGCAGTTGGTGATCTTGGGGTGTCCAGTACGGTGCAGAAAGCCACTCGCATCTTACGTTCGTTTTGACAGTAGGTTCGCATCTGAGGCATTGAGCTTGGGAGTTGCGGTGTGCTTGGTCAGTGGTTGGTAATTAACTGTTGGGTTGCGAGGACCTAGCGGCTGAGGGCCTCATGTGTATATGTGTGCGTATATATGCGTGTATGTATGTATGCCTGTATGTATGCATATATATATATATGCACATACATGTGTGTGTGTGTAAGCATGCATGCATGCATGCATGCTACATGAGCATGTTTACTTATAGCAGGCCAGAAACGTCTTATTGCATTTCAGCCGCGTGCAAGTAATCTCTCAATCTCAGAGCAAATACCTTCAGTTGTCTCTGCATGGCTGTCTGCATGCATGTGCTGTACACATTCACAGATACATAGTGTAAAGCTACACGACCGAGTATACATGCGCTCCTGTGTGTATATGTATATGTACACGATAGATAGATAGATAGATAGATAGGTAGATAGATAGATAGATAGTTAATCAGATGATTAGATAGATAATTAGATAGATAAGTAAATAGATATTTAGATAAACAGTACGGTAGACAGATAGTTAGAGAGAGAGAGACAGAGAGAGAGAGAGATATATATATATATACATACATACATACATACATACATACATATATATATATATAGGCCGATAGATCGATATATAGATAGACAGATAGATAGATGAGCGCCTTCCTTATCTTTACAGTACCTGGACCCTCAGCTGCCGTACTTTGTTGGGTTACATTTCCTTTTGGTTTTTTCGGATCCTAACACTACTACGTCGGTCATCCGAAAAGCTAAACCAACCCAAAACCCTAAACCCTTGTACACTTATAGTACATACCCTTATAGAACCCTTTCAAAGGAACCCTTAAAAATCCCCTCTTAAGAACCTGCTACCTTCCAGGCCCTGCCTAGGGGTCCGAAGCACCTACTATTCAACAAGAGTTCTATCGGGGTCCTTGTTGGGGCCACCTTATAGGATCCTAAATATGTAGCTGGTGAAACCAAAAAGAGGAACTACAATGGAGACTATATGGTGTCTTTTTACTGTAACCCGGAACTTTCGAAGACTAAAATCCCGCAACGGGAAAAAAGGATAAACCGCTTAGTCCCATCTTCAAACATCCAGGCAGTGAGCCGTGTGCGGACGGCCGGCGAGTTTCTCCAGAAGGCAAGCTGGGTTCAGGACTTGGGCTTCACGTGAAACAACAATACCAATACTTTAAAGGAAGCTACAGGTGGGGAGTTTAGGGTATATAGGGCTTCTATAAGGCTTCTATAAGGTATATAGACCTTCTAAAAGGCTCCTATAACGATAACTGCCCACCTGAAAATGTCCTAGAATACTATGTCGTTATGGTGGAGGAGTTGGGGCAGTTCGGGCAGGTGGAGGCTGTGTGCATTGATTAGGCAATGGCATCAACTACGTCTAATCCTGCAGACCAGTTTTTCTCGCCATTCATGGTGAGGAGACTTCCTCAAAACGCGGAAATACCAACCACAAGCCCTGAGTCCTAATCCCCGAAAGCCCTCAACCCCCGAACCCCTGAACGACCAAAGTCTGAAAGCTTGACTCTACAGGTGAACAGCCACAGCCTTTCAGTCGAAATCTTTGGAAACGTATCCAGCTTGGGGCCGAAGACTGTATCGGTCTGCGTTCAGAGGCCAAGGAACTTATTTGGTCAGCCAGTGCAGCGCCACGGCCGCCGACTTGCCCTCACTTGACGCTTCCAAGTTTTTGGGGGCCATGCCCGAGGTGCGGATTCTGCACCTCGCGTTGGAGCTGGTTCTGGAACAAGCCAAGAAACCGATACCACGTTTGGTTCAGCATTGCCAGTGTCCAGCTGTCGCATCGAGTTGCAAAGAGTACTGGTTCAATGCCTCAGCGCCCTTGCGACTTGGCACTCGTAGTCATGGGCATGCTGAAATCCAGCGCTTTGTGTTCACGGCGCATTTGCAACCTGCACTCGAGGGATTTAGTTCAAGTTTCACCTTGCCCAAAACCCAGGAGCCCTTCATCCCTCATCGTGAATTCTAAACCCCATAGGCCCATAAGTACTTAACCCCACGCCTAATCCCAGAAGCCACAGCCCTATAAGCCCAAAAACGCTTAGCCCCATAAGCACGTGACTTCACTTGTTTCCGGCTTAGGATACCTGCTCCGCCTGAAACCCCCAAACCCTAAACCCTGAAACTCTAGACCCTAAACTCCCCAAGCCGTCGGCCTTGACCGAAGCTGAAGTAACGCGCCTCAAAGCCCCCTAACATCTGCAGCCCCTCATCCCCAAATCCCCGAAGCCTAAACTCCAGAGAAAGTCTAAGTGGCGTACCGTTTACCCAGATCCCCTAATTTGGGACCCTAACTACGAAAGGGTACTTTATAGGAACCCTACTTTTTGGATCCTCCCGGGGGTCTGGGTAAGCATCTCCGAAGTCTGGAGCTCGTGGCTAATTACCTTTTTCAGCATCCTGGGGGGGTCATCGTAGCCCATGCATGGCCCAGAAAAGTGCTAAAGGACCAAGGAAATGCTACCGGACAGGCAAGACCTAAAGCCTAAACCCTGAACCCTAAAGACTAAACCCTAAACCTTCAAGCCTTAACTCTAAACCCTATAAAGCCTAAAGCCTGAGTAACCCTTGTGCAACAAGACTATCGGGGCTTGCGAAGGTAATGCCAGATCCAGATCAGCAGGACCCGGCACAGCTCAGCTCGAGGGGTTGGTCTTACGGGTTTAATGCGTTTTCCTCGGGCTTTTAGGGTTTAGGGTTTGGGGTTTAGGGTTTAGGGTTTGGGGTTTAGGGTTTAGGGTTTAGAGTTTAGGGTTTAATGGTGCAGAGGGCGCTGGTTATAAGGACCCGTATTGGTCTTATCGTGCCAATAACCCCTCTCCCAAAGGGTCCTAGGTACCGTTATGGGGCATACTTCCCCAAATCATAATAGTAATTCCTGTATAGAAACCCTACATGTCACTATATAGGTACTTTGGACCCTTACAGGTGCAATGGCTCAAGAGGATCGAACTCTGCAGAAATTGACATGGCTTTCCGTAAGTGTCACCGCATGAAATGGTCTGAAGGCTACAAAACCTTATAAACCCTAAAGCTTTAAATCAGTACCTATTTTTGGAGAATCTAAAGGCTCAGGGTGGGGCGAGGTCAGTTGTCGGGGTG